ATAGGAAAGGTAACGATTTTATACATTTCTTTATCCCAGTATAGAAAAGGTAACAATTTTATACAATTCTTTAACCCAGTATATAAAAGGTAACAATTTTATACAATTCTTTAACCCAGTATAGAAAAGGTAACAATTTTATACAATTCTTTAACCCAGTATAGGAAAGGTAACGATTTTATACAATTCTTTATCCCAGTATAGGAAAGGTAACGATTTTATACAATTCTTTAACCCAGTATAGAAAAGGTAATGATGATTGTAAACATTAAGCAATGATTAGTAGAATCTTGTTGATAGGAAAAGTCAGTGCTGAGTGTAAACATTACAAACATTGATGTACAATTCACAGAATGTTATTAAAACATTGTGATGATCTAACATTCAGCATCGTGAAGTTTCGACAAATAATTCATAATTGCAAGGTTAAGGAAAACAAACGTTTTTAAGTTCCTTAAAATATTGTTCAGCCAAGATATTGAAATGTTTATAAGGTATTTACCACACAAAAACCATTTATAAGTGGTATTTGATTCAAATACATGTTTTTACGGAAGGGGATATTGCCAGTGTTTGAATCTCATTATTCAAACAAACCATCTGAAATTTTTATTTTCCATATTTTCTGAATGATTTTTGTAAATCTTTATTGAAAAACATTATTGCACATTACTGGTCCCAACTTGGATTTCAATGACTGGTATGTCGTGTTACGTAGTACTTTGTTTGTTTTCTGCTGTTTAAATATACTTTTTCATTTTCTATATATCATCACAGAAGACGAGATGGTCATGCTCAGTCACTACGATTTGAACCAGCAGGGCGCATCCATACCAGTATCGGATATTGGTGTCTGTTCAACTGGCCAGAAGTACTTGGTGGGCACCCGCAGACGGACTATAAGAGATGTCAACTTTATAAAGGGTGAGTGTATGCCGAGAGTTTATGCAATGTTTGTTGTGTGTTATTCTTTACCTTTGTATTAAGTTCTGATTTATCATCGTATTCATCACTATTCTGTGCTTTGATAAATATACCAGAATTATAACTCTTATTTTTCTTGGTTGTCCTTTTCAGAATGGTTCAGTGCAAATGGTTTGTCTCCAGATGTTGAGACTATGGATGAGTCTGAATTGAATCAGCAACTTACCCGGTTTTATGCAGATGCCCGCACTAAAGAGGAAAAGAAGTTCACAAAAAGCAGTCTACTAGGTTTACGAGCCAGTCTGAACCGTTACCTATTGTCTCTCCCACAAGATCAGAAGGTCTGGCAGTCCATCCTTAAAAATCCAATGTTTTCTTCCTCAAACAGAATTATGGCACAAAAATCAAATGAGGAGAAGGGTCGGGACAAACCTCCAAAGAGCATTCCAATATCTGTGAGTGACCTTCACAAGTTGATGACTTCTGGTGTATTAGATATCACGTGTCCTCACGGTCTACAGAGAAAGGTATGGCTAGACCTGGTCATTCACTTTGGTCTCCGTGGAAACAAGGCAATGTGGGCTTTGTCAAAAGATTCCTTTGTCCTAGAGAAAGACGAGCACGGGAAACAATTCTACCGCTTGAATCATGAACTTGAATTTCCTAAACAAGAACTGTACTCGGAGATGAAGGACTGGTTTTGGTTTTCACGACTCTATGAACTACCTGACGATTCAACTTGCCCCGTTAAAAGTCTGTCATTGTATCTCAGCAAACTCAGCATTGCAAGGAATGAGTTTTTTCAAAGAATTGTTGATGCCAAATTTCTACAGGGTGTAGAGGACCATATGCCGTGGTACAGAGGGCCAATGGGGCACCAGGTCATTATGCGTATGATGGCAGATATGTCTGCAGAGGCTGACCTGTCCCACAAATACACAAACACATGTGTCAAAGCCACAATTAATAGTCTCGTCTTACAGAAGACCAAACATCTGGATATCATGTTTGGATTTAACCAGGCACATGCCACATCAGATGAAATGTATCAGAGAAGCTGTTTGGTTCATAATGCCATCTATACAAGTAGTTCTGTATAGTGATAGGTTGTGTGATTTAGGAACACTTCAATGTAATAGCTGTTAATAACCAATAGTGAATGTCTCTAGGGAAGTATATGGTTAATGTTACCCTCTACAATTTAATGTGAATTAGAACTGGTAGAGTTCAAGACACCCACAGGATTGATGGCTAACTCTTCGACATGGATTGATGTTAAATTATGCTTTATTCATCTTCCATAGGAAATTCAAACAATAATTGTACATTGCATAGAAATGTTTGCCTTCACTGTTGTGCTTTCGTGATGTAGTGTTAGGTTGTCGCCTATTTTTTTTAAGGTGTTGTCATTATTGATTAAAAACATTGTGTTTAAAAAGTATGATGACTTGTTGATATTTGTTGTAAAATGCTTAATCTTTTAGCTCTATCCTCCCTCTGTATGGTGTCAATTTTCCCTTTAAATGACTTTTGTTCAGCAGCCAAAAGGCCAAGAAGTTTCCTGACATAAAGGCTGATAATGTCTACAGAAAGATATGACCTTGACCCATATTTAAAGTCATAATGGTGAAATTGTTTAAACCTTCAAACAACTTATTTTCAATAAGAAGAAGGCCAAAAGTCATTTGACTGAAAGATTCTTGGCATGAAGCTGGACAAAGGAATGAAAATGTCTTTCACACATATTCAATGTCTCAGATGAGCAATACAGGCCATCTAGGCCTCTTGTTATACCAACGACAGGAATATTTTGGTATAAAATTTCACTACTTTGAATGTTGAGTTCAGTTTGGATACAATTTTGTTCAAGATTCTTCATCTTGCTGTAGACCTTAATTCAAATATCTTCTGACATGTGCAGTCCTTCACTGAACCTGGTAATATATTTTGATCTTAATATTAAATATTTGTGCCTCATCGCTTGTTCTAAAGTTGACAATGAAAATGTTTAATTGATAACTGAAAATCCTGGCAAATTTCAAATGGCTGTTTAGCATCTACATTATGTTATCAGAATTTTTTAATTCATCAAAACTGACATTGCAAAGCATTGCTATTCTTGATCTCGCCAAATTCAGGCTTCCATGGCAACTGTTTCCAGTGTGAACTTGTGACTAGGGTTCCATTCAGTGTAAGTCACCTTTAGGCTGATCTCAGTATTGGGCAAGCCAAGTTTGATGCAGTTTTCAACCTTTTTGATTTTGGATCATGAATCATAATTTTATATTCATTCTATTTTTTACTCCGGGTACTTCTGAGCTGGGTAGTAGAAAAGTTAATATGCCTTTTTTAAACTGAAATTAAAGGACATGTTTTAGATATACAGATATAGCAGATTGGTTATGACAAATACACCCTTATATGTAAATATATAACCATGGTTACCAATTCTGAAAAAGTAAAAATATGACTTATTTAAACTCAATACTACACCTTCATTTGAGAAATTTATTACGGAACATGACAACAATTTACCAGGTACACACATTTAAGCAAATCCTGACTCTGATCGACTTCACAACATAAGCATGTGTAGTCACTGAGAAAATTCCACTTCCTGTCACGCTAGTTTTTGGTTGGAGTGTAGACAAAAGACTGTCCAACACAGTGAAAATGTATTATTCTGAAATCAACACGACTTAACCAGTTTTAGTGTGGATTTCTCCTTATAATGGTGTAATATAATGAACAAAATTTTACTAGACAAGGCCAGAGAAGACTGGAGTGATGTCATTATAAAAACAATTTGAGAACTGACAGGGAAGGCTCATCAGTGATTTCTTCTGGAGGGGAAGTAAGAAAACTGACTCCAAAAAGGAAAGGTAAAAAAATTGACTCTAAAATGATTTGGAGCTGGCAAAACAAAAAACTTTAAGGGGGAGGTTGGAGAGGTTGAAATTCTTCAATTCTGAAATGGAAGGAAAGGAGTAATTGAATCACTACTAGTGAGTGAGATCCACCTGTGTATACTATAAAGTCCTTTATTTTTGTGGGGGATTTATTTCTATTGATTTCTTAGATATTTTAAAGAATTCATATATAATTTGTGAAGTGCGATAAATCTACTGAGCTCTCAAACAGATGGTATTATCTCTTGTTAGTAGAATTCTAGTATCTAATGAACAATTATTTAGATATACTTAAATAAAGTTTGATACTCCTGAAGGACAATTCAAGATATATAAAAATCATTTTCTTAATAAATTAAAGCATGAAAATTTCCACTTTACAGTGAAATGTGAACTTTAATAAAAACTTAATGTCTGATGTGAACAACTTACCAAAGACACATCTTTCTTGTCATTTATTCTGAACTTGTGCTGTATGGTTCTTTAGAAGAAGTACTGGATCTAAACAAGGGATGGGCGAGATGAGTCATCCAGGCTCATTTAAAATACCCCCTCAACAACGGGTAACAAGCTGGTATAATCAAGATCAGCCCTGTACCTGTGACACCTGACATGGCATGCTGCTGTATCTAGTCTTTCTCTGTGATTGGTTGTTACAGTTGAAAAATAATTTGAAGATTTATATTGAGTACTTGTGAAAATTCTGTGTCCTTATAAAAGTAATGTATAGAAATATTTACTTGGGGGGAATTGGTGATTGTGTTTAATATCCTATTTGGTAATTATGCCAACACCATTTCACAGCAAATGACTTATCAACAAAGTTTGTGTGGTGTAACAGGTGGGTAATTAAGCAATGTTTTATTTTGTCATGTTTAAAACATTTAACAGTAGAGAGTTTGGTCAATACTCTAACAGACCTGTTGAAGTGGGGAGATAATTTACTGTTAGTTCCTTTGGTCATTGGTGTTTTTAATGAATGGTCATTCATAGCAGAAGATGGAGATGGTCTCACATCTAGTAAATTATTTCACAAATTCACCATTATGTTAATCTTGGTGAAAGATTTTGAAATGGTTATGTTGAAATGAATTAAGATTTTAGCCGTATCTAAATTGTAAGATATTAACTGTTCCATGATTCTTTATGTTTGTAACAGAGGATGAGATGGTCATGCATAGTCATTATGACACGTCGTTAGTGGATGTGACATCACAGACACCAGAGCTGACCACATCTCCATCTGGGCACCGTTACCTCGTCGGCACACGGAAGAGAACCATTCGAGATGTTAACTTCATCAAGGGTACGTAACTCTGTCATTGATCGGTTACTATAGGTGACAATAGATTCTAGCACAAACACAAGACAAAACACAAAAAAGTATATTATGGAATCTGTGTAGAAACACAGTGTAACAAGTAGGAAATACTGATAAAGGATGTCCATGTTCTACACTCTCTAATTAAAACAATGACCAGGGCCAGAGGACTAATTAAAACAATGACAGGGGCCAGAGGACTCTAATTAAAACAATGTCCGGGACCAGAGGACTCTAATTAAAACAATGACCGGGGCCAGAGGACTCTAATTAAAACAATGACCGGGGCCAGAGGACTCTAATTAAAACAATGACCTGGGCCAGAGGACTCTAATTAAAACAATGACCGGGACCAGAGGACTCTAATTAAAACAATGTCCGGGACCAGAGGACTCTAATTAAAACAATGACAGAGGCCAGAGGACTCTAATTAAAACAATGTCCGGGACCAGAGGACTCTAATTAAAACAATGTCCGGGACCAGAGGACTCTAATTAAAACAATGACAGGGGCCAGAGGACTCTAATTAAAACAATGTCCGGGACCAGAGGACTCTAATTAAAACAATGACCAGGGCCAGGGGACTCTAATTAAAACAATGACCTGGGCCAGAGGACTCTAATTAAAACAATGTCCGGGACCAGAGGACTCTAATTAAAACAATGACAGGGGCCAGAGGACTCTAATTAAAACAATGTCCGGGACCAGAGGACTCCTAATAAAAACAATGACCAGGGCCAGAGGACTCTAATTAAAACAATGACCGGGGCCAGGGGACTCTAATTAAAACAATGACCGGGGCCAGGGGACTCTAATTAAAACAATGACCAGGGCCAGAGGACTCTAATTAAAACAATGACCAGGGCCAGAGGACTCTAATTAAAACAATGACCAGGGCCAGAGGACTCTAATTAAAACAATGACAGGGGCCAGAGGACTCTAATTAAAACAATGTCCGGGACCAGAGGACTCCTAATAAAAACAATGACAGGGGCCAGAGGACTCTAATTAAAACAATGACCAGGGCCAGGGGACTCTAATTAAAACAATGACAGGGGCCAGAGGACTCTAATTAAAACAATGTCCGGGACCAGAGGACTCTAATTAAAACAATGACCGGGGCCAGAGGACTCTAATTAAAACAATGTCCGGGACCAGAGGACTCCTAATAAAAACAATGACAGGGGCCAGAGGACTCTAATTAAAACAATGACCAGGGCCAGGGGACTCTAATTAAAACAATGACAGGGGCCAGAGGACTCTAATTAAAACAATGTCCGGGACCAGAGGACTCCTAATAAAAACAATGACCAGGACCAGAGGACTCTAATTAAAACAATGTCCGGGACCAGAGGACTCCTAATAAAAACAATGACCGGGGCCAGGGGACTCTGATTAAAACAATGACCAGGGCCAGAGATGCTAATTAAAACAATGACCAGGGCCAGGGGACTCTAATTAAAACAATGACCGGGGCCAGGGGACTCTAATTAAAACAATGTCCGGGACCAGGGGACTCTAATTAAAACAATGACCAGGGCCAGAGATGCTAATTAAAACAATGACCAGGGCCAGAGGACTCTAATTAAAACAATGACCGGGGCCAGGGGACTCTAATTAAAACAATGACCAGGGCCAGAGATGCTAATTAAAACAATGACCAGGGCCAGAGGACTCTAATTAAAACAATGACCAGGGCCAGAGGACTCTAATTAAAACAATGTCCGGGACCAGAGGACTCTAATTAAAACAATGACAGGGGCCAGAGGACTCTAATTAAAACAATGTCCGGGACCAGAGGACTCCTAATAAAAACAATGACCAGGGCCAGAGGACTCTAATTAAAACAATGTCCGGGACCAGAGATGCTAATTAAAACAATGACCAGGGCCAGGGGACTCTAATTAAAACAATGACCAGGGCCAGGGGACTCTAATTAAAACAATGACCAGGGCCAGAGATGCTAATTAAAACAATGACCAGGGCCAGGGGACTCTAATTAAAACACTGACCGGGGCCAGGGGACTCTAATTAAAACAATGACCAGGGCCAGAGGACTCTAATTAAAACAATGACCAGGGCCAGAGGACTCTAATTAAAACAATGTCCGGGACCAGAGGACTCTAATTAAAACAATGTCCGGGACCAGAGGACTCTAATTAAAACAATGACAGGGGCCAGAGGACTCTAATTAAAACAATGTCCGGGACCAGAGGACTCTAATTAAAACAATGACCAGGGCCAGAGATGCTAATTAAAACAATGACCAGGGCCAGGGGACTCTAATTAAAACAATGACCAGGGCCAGAGATGCTAATTAAAACAATGACCAGGGCCAGGGGACTCTAATTAAAACAATGACCGGGGCCAGGGGACTCTAATTAAAACAATGTCCGGGACCAGGGGACTCTAATTAAAACAATGACCAGGGCCAGAGATGCTAATTAAAACAATGACCAGGGCCAGAGGACTCTAATTAAAACAATGACCGGGGCCAGGGGACTCTAATTAAAACAATGACCAGGGCCAGAGATGCTAATTAAAACAATGACCAGGGCCAGAGGACTCTAATTAAAACAATGACCAGGGCCAGAGGACTCTAATTAAAACAATGTCCGGGACCAGAGGACTCTAATTAAAACAATGTCCGGGACCAGAGGACTCTAATTAAAACAATGACCAGGGCCAGAGGACTCTAATTAAAACAATGACAGGGGCCAGAGGACTCTAATTAAAACAATGTCCGGGACCAGAGGACTCTAATTAAAACAATGACAGGGGCCAGAGGACTCTAATTAAAACAATGTCCGGGACCAGAGGACTCTAATTAAAACAATGACCAGGGCCAGAGATGCTAATTAAAACAATGACCAGGGCCAGAGGACTCTAATTAAAACAATGACCAGGGCCAGAGGACTCTAATTAAAACAATGTCCGGGACCAGAGGACTCTAATTAAAACAATGACAGGGGCCAGAGGACTCTAATTAAAACAATGTCCGGGACCAGAGGACTCTAATTAAAACAATGTCCGGGACCAGAGGACTCTATTTAAAACAATGTCCGGGACCAGAGGACTCTAATTAAAACAATGTCCGGGACCAGAGGACTCTAATTAAAACAATGTCCGGGACCAGAGGACTCTAATTAAAACAATGTCTGGGACCAGAGGACTCTAATTAAAACAATGTCCGGGACCAGAGGACTCTAATTAAAACAATGACAGGGGCCAGAGGACTCTAATTAAAACAATGACCAGGGCCAGAGGACTCTAATTAAAACAATGACCGGGGCCAGGGGACTCTAATTAAAACAATGACCTGGGCCAGAGGACTCTAATTAAAACAATGTCCGGGACCAGAGGACTCTAATTAAAACAATGACCTGGGCCAGAGGACTCTAATTAAAACAATGTCCGGGACCAGAGGACTCTAATTAAAACAATGACCAGGGCCAGGGGACTCTAATTAAAACAATGACCGGGGCCAGGGGACTCTAATTAAAACAATGACCAGGGCCAGGGGACTCTAATTAAAACAATGACCAGGGCCAGGGGACTCTAATTAAAACAATGACCAGGGCCAGGGGACTCTAATTAAAACAATGACAGGGGCCAGAGGACTCTAATTAAAACAATGACCAGGGCCAGAGGACTCTAATTAAAACAATGTCCGGGACCAGAGGACTCTAATTAAAACAATGACAGGAGCCAGAGGACTCTAATTAAAACAATGTCCGGGACCAGAGGACTCCTAATAAAAACAATGACCAGGGCCAGAGGACTCTAATTAAAACAATGTCCGGGACCAGAGGACTCTAATTAAAACAATGTCCGGGACCAGAGGACTCTAATTAAAACAATGACAGGGGCCAGAGGACTCTAATTAAAACAATGTCCGGGACCAGAGGACTCCTAATAAAAACAATGACCAGGGCCAGAGGACTCTAATTAAAACAATGACCGGGGCCAGAGGACTCTAATTAAAACAATGTCCGGGACCAGAGGACTCTAATTAAAACAATGACAGGGGCCAGAGGACTCTAATTAAAACAATGACCTGGGCCAGAGGACTCTAATTAAAACAATGACCGGGGCCAGGGGACTCTAATTAAAACAATGACCAGGGCCAGAGGACTCTAATTAAAACAATGACCTGGGCCAGAGGACTCTAATTAAAACAATGACCTGGGCCAGAGGACTCTAATTAAAACAATGACCTGGGCCAGAGGACTCTAATTAAAACAATGACCTGGGCCAGAGGACTCTAATTAAAACAATGACCGGGGCCAGAGGACTCTAATTAAAACAATGACCTGGGCCAGAGGACTCTAATTAAAACAATGACCTGGGCCAGAGGACTCTAATTAAAACAATGACCTGGGCCAGAGGACTCTAATTAAAACAATGACCTGGGCCAGAGGACTCTAATTAAAACAATGACCTGGGCCAGAGGACTCTAATTAAAACAATGACCGGGGCCAGAGGACTCTAATTAAAACAATGACCTGGGCCAGAGGACTCTAATTAAAACAATGTCCGGGACCAGAGGACTCTAATTAAAACAATGACAGGGGCCAGAGGACTCTAATTAAAACAATGTCCGGGACCAGAGGACTCCTAATAAAAACAATGACCAGGGCCAGAGGACTCTAATTAAAACAATGACAGGGGCCAGAGGACTCTAATTAAAACAATGTCCGGGACCAGAGGACTCCTAATAAAAACAATGACCAGGGCCAGAGGACTCTAATTAAAACAATGACCTGGGCCAGAGGACTCTAATTAAAACAATGTCCGGGACCAGAGGACTCTAATTAAAACAATGACAGGGGCCAGAGGACTCTAATTAAAACAATGACCTGGGCCAGAGGACTCTAATTAAAACAATGACCGGGGCCAGAGGACTCTAATTAAAACAATGACCTGGGCCAGAGGACTCTAATTAAAACAATGTCCGGGACCAGAGGACTCTAATTAAAACAATGACAGGGGCCAGAGGACTCTAATTAAAACAATGTCCGGGACCAGAGGACTCCTAATAAAAACAATGACCAGGGCCAGAGGACTCTAATTAAAACAATGACCGGGGCCAGAGGACTCTAATTAAAACAATGACCTGGGCCAGAGGACTCTAATTAAAACAATGTCCGGGACCAGAGGACTCTAATTAAAACAATGACCAGGGCCAGGGGACTCTAATTAAAACAATGACCGGGGCCAGAGGACTCTAATTAAAACAATGACCTGGGCCAGAGGACTCTAATTAAAACAATGTCCGGGACCAGAGGACTCTAATTAAAACAATGTCCGGGACCAGAGGACTCCTAATAAAAACAATGACCAGGGCCAGAGGACTCTAATTAAAACAATGACCGGGGCCAGAGGACTCTAATTAAAACAATGACCTGGGCCAGAGGACTCTAATTAAAACAATGTCCGGGACCAGAGGACTCTAATTAAAACAATGTCCGGGACCAGAGGACTCCTAATAAAAACAATGACCAGGGCCAGAGGACTCTAATTAAAACAATGACCGGGGCCAGAGGACTCTAATTAAAACAATGACCTGGGCCAGAGGACTCTAATTAAAACAATGTCCGGGACCAGAGGACTCTAATTAAAACAATGACAGGGGCCAGAGGACTCTAATTAAAACAATGTCCGGGACCAGAGGACTCTAATTAAAACAATGACAGGGGCCAGAGGACTCTAATTAAAACAATGACCGGGGCCAGGGGACTCTAATTAAAACAATGACAGGGGCCAGAGGACTCTAATTAAAACAATGACCGGGGCCAGAGGACTCTAATTAAAACAATGACCAGGGCCAGGGGACTCTAATTAAAACAATGACCTGGGCCAGAGGACTCTAATTAAAACAATGACCGGGGCCAGAGGACTCTAATTAAAACAATGATCGGGGCCAGATGACTCTAATTAAAACAATGACCTGGGCCAGAGGACTCTAATTAAAACAATGACCGGGGCCAGAGGACGTGTGACAGTGACCTTGCTTTATTTATATCTTAGGATGTTTCCACAAAGACAGAGAACCAATGAAAGGGCAGAACTATTGTTAGAACATTTCAGATCTAATTATACAGCTTTATGGACTGATGGACCAACTTCATTCCTGATACCAAAATCAATCCATAGGGGCTGCACCGTATCTCAAAAACTATTTAATAGATTTTGATTGCCATTTCTCCACTAAATCACTTGTTTATAAAAAAGGTGATCTAACACTTTTATGGTGTTTATGCAGTGTCACATCTGTAATTGTATATGTATGTTTACAATGCTGAGTCCTTCAAGACAATGTATTGGGGAGAGGAGTACATGTTCCTTATTGTTCACTAACTGGAACCTTGAATGTTTTAGATGTAGCACTGCTGACAGTTTTCTCTTCAAGCAGGTTTCAGATGATAGTGGTATGGGGGAAGACCTAGTTCTTAAATTTTTCTATTCTTGTGTTAAGAACTTTGTATCCTATTGAGGTTACATGGATGTTTGTCTATTAAATTGCTATAGGAGAAATCACTGAAATCTTTTGGGCATATTTTTCATTGTTACCTTTCAGGTGTCACATAGATTAATAGTTTTTGCCTTTGCATGCTTATTTTTCCAGTGAAACCCTGTAAGACATTTTTGTTTAATTCACATTGAAGTTATGCTGGTACCGTGTTTGAATAAATAATCATTGGATAGTACTGGAAAAGAAATCTGCTACATGTTCAATAGAAGAATTTCTGAATTGTATGTTTCAGGATGGTTCCGATCCAATGGATGTTTACCAGATTTTGAGACAATGTCAGAAGCCGATTTGAATGACCAGCTCTGTCAATTCTACCTCCATGCCCGAACAAAGGATGATAAACCTTTTACAAGGACTAGCCTGCTTGGGCTTAGGGCCAGCCTCAACCGTTACCTTTTGTCGCTTCCTCCTGGAAGGAAACAATGGAGTACCATACTCAAACATCCTGCATTTGCCACTTCTAACAGAATCATGAACCGCAAATCTACAGAGGAGAGGAACAGGGACAGGCCCCCAAAGACTGTGCCAATCTCACTCGCAGATCTAAACAAGTTGATGTCATCTAAGATTCTACACACTTCATTCCCAGTAGGACTTCAAAAGAAGGTATGGCTGGACATTGTGCTTCACTTTGGTCTCCGTGGTAACAAAGCAATGTGGGCACTGACCAAGAACTCTTTCTTGTTGGAGGTTGATAAGGCTGGCCGACAGTACTATCATCTGAACCATGAGACAGAGCTACCAAAACAAGAAGTCTACTCGGAAATGAAAGACTGGTATTGGTATTCACGAATGTATGAAATTGCTGACAGTCCCAGGTGCCCTGTTCAAAGTCTGTCCAAGTACCTACAGAAGTTAAGTCTAAGTTGTAATGAATTCTTCCAGCGGGCCTTAGAGTCCCGCGCGATGTGCTCTGGTGTAGATGGTGATACAACTTGGTATCGAGGTCCCATGGGTGACCAGGCAGTCATGAAGATGATGAGTGACATGTCCAGGTTCTCTTCGCTCTCTCGTATCTACACCAATACCTCTGTTCGCTCCACACTTGATGAGTTGCTTGGAAAACAAGGAGTCGTTTTGGATGTACTGTTCATGCAAAAAGGAGAACCTATCACTTCAGACAGATTGGAATTCAAAAGCAATTTGATTCACAATGCATTCTACACTTGTGAAGGGGAACATAACTAACAGCTTACATGGCATGATAGACCAGTGCCTCCAAAGGTCAAATGAGGTCAATAAGGTTGGATGAAAGTAATACCTCACAAGGTCAAATCAAACAAATATTTTACATGGTTAGAGTTCTCAGAGGGTAAGGAACACAGATAACTCATATTAGATCATACGAGACTGATAACTCACAAGATTAATGAGGCAGCCAGCTGACAAATCTGAATCCTCTGAGACTAACAGCTGAGGTCAAATGAGGCAAACGACTCACAAGGCTGAAATAAGACTACTAAATCATAATGCTGAATAAGAGTAACCTCGCATGGCAGAATGAAAAGATTAAAGCTGAATGTCCTTTTTCAAACATGTTTAAACCCAACTTCTGCAGAAAGACAAAATCATAAAGTTCGTCATAGTATGAAGCATAGATCTTCAAACAAAATTCTGTGTTACACTGAAGGGTACAGGACTAACAGTAAATACTGATGAATGTCTGGTTAGGTCTTCACTGAAATAGTTTTTATGCGAATGAACATCATCGATACTCCAAGGGTGCAGAGAGCAAAAGTGATCGTAACCCCTGGAACATGTCATGGCAAAGGAGCAACACCCAACTTCAAAGCCATTACAATATACTATTATGCGATCTCAAGATATGTGCAATGTACATCAAAGGGTCAACCTAGTCTTTGTATCTTTCTACAAGATGTCACACATGAAACCTTTTCATTTTGCAATGACATGTTGCAGGGGTGTAGAGAGTGAAAGTAATTGTGACCCATGAAATATCGAGGATGGCAAGTGATGGAACCCTAATCTAAGCCTAGATCTAATGGTAGATGTATGAGGAAGTTGTTTTAGATAATTCTCTGCAGCAATGGACACAACTTAATGTGAACTCTAGATTCTGTAGACTATCAGTGTGATGTAGCTGGTGTTAGGCTCCACAAACCAATCTACAGAGAAGTATCACTTAGTTACATGTAAATAATAGTTATCTCCTACTTGTGAGAGTAAAATTACAATACCTACAAAACTGTATAGATATTGCAAGAAGCACAGTTTTGCATTCGTAATCTGTAATCTACAACTTTATATGGGATATTGAGGCTAGACTTCAGAGTGATAATGTATATATATTGATCAGGAGATATTCAGGATTCTACAAGGTTTCTGTACTAAAATCAAGGTTAGGAATTACCAGTTTCGTTGTGATAAGGCACAAGGAATTGTTACATTGTAATATGGATCACATTCCTACACTGAGTAAGCCTACAAATTACTGTTTTTAGTCTATAAACTTTATATTGTTGATGATTGAAAACAATATTGTTGTACTTATTTTGTACTTCAGTTGTTTTCCATTAACATTAGGCAATGATATGTGTTCATTGATCCAGGTCCAGATTACTTCTTATAGAAAACCATCAGCATCCTAGTGACTTCATCCTCGAGGGATTCTCATCATCACACTCTTAGAAAATGTAATAACATTTTGGGGCCAGTAGGGGATGTGTATTGCTTTAGCAATACTCAGTATTTGTTTGTTAATTAATGTGATGATATGTGATTTCACTACATTTACACCATGCTTTTTCATTTGTTAATTTATAATGTAAATGATTAGATTAAGTACAAAGTACTACAAATGTTCTTTTGACATTTGGAATTAAAAATAGGGGAACCTACTTTGTTGTTGAGTTTTCTTTTTATCTTTGAAACTGAATTAAAGGGATTGAACAAGGATATATATCTTGTGTCAATATCAGTTTCTGTATTACGGTAACCTGTTGTCGTCAACCCAAGTGATGTTTGCAAAGTCAACCGGTGAAGATTAATCCAAATGTGACTTGGGCTAAAATTGGTCAAGATGGTCAAACATTAACATAGAAAAACCAGCATGCCAACAGAATCTTAATTCAAACTCAAATTTGGTAGTTAAAAGAAAAATAATTAGGGTTTTCATTGAGACCCCTGAAAAATGTACAAGAAGAAATCCAGTGTTCTGAAAGTTTGTCTTCTATTTCACCAACAACACCTATCTTAGTCAATCCAAGTAAATTACATCACATTCTAAAATAGTGAGACAACCAGATTAGTGGTGGCTGGAGAGTGGGACAACCAGATTAGTGGTGGCTGGAGAGTGGGACAACCAGATTAGTGGTGGCTGGAGAGTGGGACAACCAGATTAGTGGTGGCTGGAGAGTGGGACAACCAGATTAGTGGTGGCTGGAGAGTGGGACAACCAGATTAGTGGTGGCTGGAGAGTGGGACAACCAGATTAGTGGTGGCTGGAGAGTGGGACAACCAGATTAGTGGTGGCTGGAGAGTGGGACAACCAGATTAGTGGTGGCTGGAGAGTGGGACAACCAGATTAGTGGTGGCTGGAGAGTGGGACAACCAGATTAGTGGTGGCTGGAGAGTGGGACAACCAGATTAGTGGTGGCTGGAGAGTGGGACAACCAGATTAGTGGTGGCTGGAGAGTGGGACAACCAGATTAGTGGTGGCTGGAGAGTGGGACAACCAGATTAGTGGTGGCTAGTGGTGGCTGGAGAGTGGGACAACCAGATTAGTGGTGGCTGGAGAGTGGGACAACCAGATTAGTGGTGGCTGGAGAGTGGGACAACCAGATTAGTGGTGGCTGGAGAGTGGGACAACCAGATTAGTGGTGGCTGGAGAGTGGGACAACCAGATTAGTGGTGGCTGGAGAGTGGGACAACCAGATTAGTGGTGGCTGGAGAGTGGGACAACCAGATTAGTGGTGGCTGGAGAGTGGGACAACCAGATTAGTGGTGGCTGGAGAGTGGGACAACCAGATTAGTGGTGGCTGGAGAGTGGGACAACCAGATTAGTGGTGGCTGGAGAGTGGGACAACCAGATTAGTGGTGACTAGATAGTGGGACAACCAGATTAGTGGTGGCTGGAGAGTGGGACAACCAGATTAGTGGTGGCTGGAGAGTGGGACAACCAGATTAGTGGTGACTAGATAGTGTGACAACCAGATTAGTGGTAAGTGGTTAATGGGACAACCAGTATAGTGGTAGTTGTAGAACCTGAAGGCTGGTGATAGTGAGGTATTTGATATTTGCTGAGGTTTTATTCATTGCCAGGTGTAAACTCTACATGTTGAGTTTAAGTAAATTTCCTGAATTTTTAAAACTGAATAACAAACAGAAAAATGTGAAATCACACAATATTTTAATTCCTCTCATATAAAACAAAAAATAAATCAAGCATACGTCTTAAATATTTGTTAGATTTAAATACACACTAGATTTTTTGTATGTATAGTCCACACCGACATACCGGCGGTACACTCATCAGTCTGTGTAACGTCAACTATAGTAGATTTTTTGTATGTATAGTCCACACCGACATACACTCATCAGTCTGTGTAACGTCAACTATAGTAGATTTTTTGTATGTATAGCCCACACCGACATACACTCATCAGTCTGTGTAACGTCAACTATAGTAGATTTTTTGTATGTATAGCCCACACCGACATACACTCATCAGTCTGTGTAACGTCAACTATAGTAGATTTTTTGTATGTATAGCCCACACCGACATACACTCATCAGTCTGTGTAACGTCAACTATAGTAGATTTTTTGTATGTATAGCCCACACCGACATACACTCATCAGTCTGTGTAACGTCAACTATAGTAGATTTTTTGTATGTATAGCCCACACCGACATACACTCATCAGTCTGTGTAACGTCAACTATAGTAGATTCTTTGTATGTATAGCCCACACCGACATACACTCATCAGTCTGTGTAACGTCAACTATAGTAGATTTTTTGTATGTATAGCCCACACCGACATACACTCATCAGTCTGTGTAACGTCAACTATAGTAGATTTTTTGTATATATAGCCCACACCGACATACACTCATCAGTCTGTGTAACGTCAACTATAGTAGATTTTTTGTATATATAGCCCACACCGACATACACTCATCAGTCTGTGTATGTATAGTCCACACCGACATACACTCATCAGTCTGTGTAACGTCAACTATAGTAGATTTTTTGTATGTATAGCCCACACCGACATACACTCATCAGTCTGTGTAACGTCAACTATAGTAGATTTTTTGTATGTATAGCCCACACCGACATACACTCATCAGTCTGTGTAACGTCAACTATAGTAGATTTTTTGTATATATAGCCCACACCGACATACACTCATCAGTCTGTGTAACGTCAACTATAGTAGATTTTTTGTATATATAGCCCACACCGACATACACTCATCAGTCTGGGTATGTATAGTCCACACCGACATACACTCATCAGTCTGTGTAACGTCAACTATAGTAGATTTTTTGTATGTAAAGCCCACACTGACATACACTCATCAGTCTGTGTAACGTCAACTATAGTAGATTTTTTGTATGTAAAGCCCACACTGACATACACTCATCAGCCTGTGTAATGACAACTATAATAGATTCTTTGTATGTATAGCCCACACTGACATACACTCATCAGTCTGTGTATGTATAGTCCACACTGACATACACTCACCAGTCCGTGTATGTATAGTTCACACTGACATACACTCACCAGTCTGTGTATGTATAGTCCACACAGACATACACTCACCAGTCCGTGTATGTATAGTCCACACTGACATACACTCATCAGTCCTTGTATGTATAGTCCACACAGACATACACTCACCAGTCCGTGTATGTATAGTCCACACTGACATACACTCATCAGTCTGTGTATGTATAGTCCACACAGACATACACTCACCAGTCCGTGTATGTATAGTCCACACAGACATACACTCACCAGTCCGTGTATGTATAGTCCACACTGACATACACTCTCCAGTCCGTGTATGTATAGTCCACACAGACATACACTCACCAGTCCGTGTATGTATAGTCCACACTGACATACACTCACCAGTCCGTGTATGTATAGTCCACACAGACATACACTCACCAGTCCGTGTATGTATAGTCCACACTGACATACACTCATCAGTCCGTGTAACGCCCCACTACAGTATATCACCATAATCAACCTAATCACAAAATCAGGAAGATGTTGTTTTTTCTTCCTGATATGATCAGAGAAATTGTGATCAAAATCAGATTATCAATATCAATTTTGGACCTATATATAATTTGCATCACTTTGTGTACAAAAGATATTGGATATGTAGAGAATTTCTGTCCTTCTGATCAAGAAAAGTATCCTTCAAACTCCATCAAGAAAGCAAGCTTAATTCTGAAACTCGTTGATCTCCTCTTCAATTTCTTGTTGGCGTATCAGTTCCCAGTACAAACCTTTCTTCTTCTTAAGACTCTTGTGGTCTCCCATCTACAATACACAAACAGACCTTCACTTATAACTCCACAATACACAGACCTTCACTTAATATAACTCCACAATACACAGACCTTCACTTAATATAACTCCACAATACACAAACAGACCTTCACTTAATATAACTCTGTAATGTTTTCTTCAAGTTGGTAATGTCAATAGAAAATAGTTCTTATATTCAAACCAGTAGAGGATTAGAGTGTGACGTTTTGATGGCTACACGGTCATCTTCATCTTGTAACACAACCAGTAGAAGATTAGTGTGACGTTTTGATGACTACACGGTCACCTTCATCTTATAACATAACCAGTATAGGATTAGAGTGTGATGGTTCCATGACTACACTGCCACCTTCATCAGACAAATGACCCGTGTGAACCATACTAACACTAATGTACATAGTGTACGAGATGGTCTCATACACTAAATACATCAGTGCTTTTACATTCAAACCGGTCATTTGTCTGATGAAGGTAACAGTGTAGTCATCAAAACTTCACACTCGAATCTGCTACTGGTTGTGTTATAAAAACTTCTATTCTACTCTATACAACACTTGGGGATGAGCCAAATATAAAGAGAGATTACAAAATCTGACCTTTGGTGCCTTGTAATACTTTCTGAGAGGATCAAGTGGAAAATGATGTTCATCTTACCATCCAGTGCCCAATAAAGGACAATGTATAAGCCAATCCCTTTAATTGTGCATTGTGTATTTCTATATATAAATGTGAAAGGTAAATAAAATACCTATGTCTGTTTGACCAATTTGTTAATAGTTCCTTACCTCCACAATTTTCCCACCGGATACAACAGCTATCACATCAGCATCTCGGATGGTACTTAGACGATGAGCTATGACTAGAGTGGTCCGACCTAGAAATACAAAACATGAGAACAAAAAAGTGTTTAATGTGCTAAAACCTTACCTGAATTATATTTGTAAAAAAGAATAAAGCATTTAACGCTATGATACACAGTGGTAGAAAAGCAAACGTGAGGCACATTTGCATTTTTTCTCTCTTTTTGTTTCTTTTATCACGAAGTTTAACTTGAATGGTATAAATTAAGACATGGTGACAGTGACTTTTATGTGACCTGACTTACCTTTAATTACTTTATCTAGAGCCTCCTGGACAATCCTCTCTGACTCGGCATCCAGTGCACTGTAATTAATTACATTTATTGCTACATGACAACAGAGATAAACAAAAAAATGTTAAGAATGAAAAATTTTGACATGGATTCTTCTGACATAACTAACTTGTATCTGCATCAGGATGAAAGTTTGTTAAATGGCTATCCTTACATGGAGGTCTCATCAAGGATTAGGTTGTAGGCCTTTTTGATGAAAGTGTGTTAAATGGCTATCCTTACATGGAGGTCTCATCAAGGATTAGGTTGTAGGCCTTTTTGATGAGAGTGTGTTCAAAGGCTATCCTTACCTGTAAACCTCATCAAAAATCAGGTTGGAGTCCTTTTTGATGAGAGTGTGTTTGATGGCTATCCATACCTTGCAATCTCATCAAGGATTAGTTTTGAGGCTTTTTAAAAAGAGAGTATGTTTGATGGCTAATCTTACCTGGTAGCCTCATCCAGGATGAGGATGGAAGGGTTTTTGATGAGAGCACGTGCGATAGCTATCCTCTGTTTCTGTCCCCCAGACACCGTTACACCCCTCTCCCCCAATACTGTGTTATACCCGTCAGGGAACTTGGTGATGAAATCGTGGGCATTGGCCAATGTGGCAGCCTCTATCACCTTAAGTACAGGAAAATGAAAGTCCATTATAATAATGGAAAAATTCAGAAATACATTATCTAAGAACATTAACACATCCTTTGCAATAGAGTAATTAGCTTATATTATCTTCAGATATTTCCTTACCTCAACATCAGAAGCTTCTGGCATTCCATATCGGATGTTCTCCATGATTGAGGTTGCAAACAGAACAGGCTCCTGAAATATATTTCAGGTAATAAATGTCAGGTACCAAATGAAGATAATTAATTTTCCTGGTTATGAATTAGACGGGGAAAATGTTCTTTCTTTACAGCGGAGAGGCAGTAGGAAACTAAGTGCGAAACAATAAAATATGTCATGAATTAAAATTCACAACAAATAAAAGGTAGGTTACACTATTCTGGACATGTAAAATTCAAAATGATTACGGTTTTTGAAAATTAATTTCTATAAAAGTAACTGGACTAGAAGTGTAAGCATAGCTTTACCATTCATGTACAGGATCAAAATCTGACACTATGAAGTGAAAATATGGCTGATAACCATTCAAAGGGGTATAACTCTGATTATTAGAATCAAATTACTTAGTGACTTTCTGCGAATAGTTATGGTGATCCTGACGACCAGAAATGCATACTCATTTTATGCCCTCGAGATCAAAGATAATTCTGATTTACCCTTCCACATTTGTAATTACAAATTTGTAAATAAACTAGAATAGTATTTACTTGGTTGATATATCCCAGGGCCCTGCCTCTGAGCCAAGTTGGGTCCAGATCCTTCAGGTCGTATCCATCAATAGTTATCTTCCCTTTCTGGATGTCATAGAAACGCTCCAACAATACAGCCACTGTGGACTTGCCTGGAATCAGACATCAGATTGTTGTGGGAAATGAATCCTACAAAGTCTTTCGGCGGGCAATGGTGTCACACTATCTAGCTAGTACTTTTTGATCAAAAGTTTAAAGTTTTATCACAACTCAAACGACAAATAAGATTTTGATATAAGAATTGCTAAATCAAATGCTCCCTATCTTCTGTTTCCTTGATATATACTGGCAGATGTATATCCTACCATAGAAATGCAAAGAAAATGCAATATGTGTTTTGTGACTATGGAACCTTTGGTCACCTGACAACTCATTGAGTTTTCTGTTTTAATTGTTCACTGTTCCTCTATTGAGTCTGCCGAAAACACCACCTCCAGAGTCAAAGGAGGCACAAAACATACCTCCTTCATAAAGTCTGCCAAAGAACACCACCTCCAGAGTCAAAGGAGGCACAAAACATACCTCCTTCATAAAGAACACCACCTCCAGAGTCAAAGGAGGCACAAAACATACCTCCTTCATAAAGTCTGCCAAAGAACACCACCTCCAGAGTCAAAGGAGGCACAAAACATACCTCCTTCATAAAGTCTGCCAAAGAACACCACCTCCAGAGTCAAAGGAGGCACAAAACATACCTCCTTCATAAAGTCTGCCATAGAACGCCAACTCAGGAGACAAACAGGGGACAAATATACCTCCTCTATAAGGTCTATTAAAGAACTAAACTGCCACCATAGGCATCAAACCAGGGACTAACCATACCTCCTCTATAAGTTCTATTAAAGAACTAAACTGCCACCATAGTAGTCAAACCAGGGACTAACCATACCTCCTCTATAAGGTCTATTAAAGAACTGAACTGCCACCATAGGCGTCAAACCAGGGATTAACCATTCCTCCTCTATAAGGTCTATTAAAGAACTAAACTGCCACCATAGGAGTCAAACCAGGGACTAACCATACCTCCTCTATAAGTTCTATTAAAGAACTAAACTGCTACCATAGGCGTCAAACCAGGGACTAACCATACCTCCTCTATAAGTTCTATTAAAGAACTAAACTGCCACCATAGGAGTCAAACCAGGGACTGACCATTCCTCCTTCATAAAGCCTTACAAAGAATGGACCTATGGTCTCAAGAGTCAATGAAAAAGATCCAACATACCTCCTCCAGAGAGTCCAACAAGGGCCACTACTGCTCCAGACCTTATCTTCAGATTGAAATCCTTCAGGACAGTCTGATGTGTAGAGACAAGAAATACAACATTTATTAAAATACATGCAGATTTTGATTACAATTATATTGTTTTGACTGCTGGAAAGGAAATGATGTTGACCTAGATGTCAGTGCAGGAGAAGTTGATCGAAATATTGGTGTAGGTGATCTTGACCTAGATATTAGTGCTTGAAAAGTTGACCTAGATATTGGTGCAAGAGAAGTTGACCTAGATATTAAGGTGAGAGGCTGATCTTGTTTAATGGTATACTATCAAATAGAAATGATATTCAATTGGTTAAGTGCAATATGTCCTGGAGCACCGGCGCAATAAAATGACATACAAAATTTTATAATGATGCTCACCTGTTCACTTCGAGTAGGATAGGAGAAACTGACATCTTGAAATTCTACATTCCCCATGAGGGTGTGAAAGGCAATCTTCTTGCCACCTTTTAATGGTATGGATGGTACAGAGTTGATAAACTACAAAAAATAATAATGTTCTGTATAGATCAACCACAGCAAAACCTCTTCACACTCGATACATTTACTTCTAATATCAGGTTATTTTTTGATATCCAAATTTACCTCAAATACTCTTGCCCCAGCACTCATGCCACGTACAACATTTCCAAACAGCAGTGACATCTGGGCAAGTGACCTGATAACAAGGAAAATGGGGGACGTATTTAAGTTAATTATATCTTACAGTTACAAATGCAATTACAGTTTACACAAGTTATTTATTTACAATGACAATTAAACAGTTGATGGTAGATATTTTATCATTCAATACACTTAAAAGTATCTATTTTACAATTTAAATGTTAATATTTCACCTTTCAATAGTTTGTGAAGCCACCAGGAATGACATCAGATTACCCGCGGTGATTTCCTGTCGGGACATTAGCCATCCACCGGTAAATAAGGTGCCTAGTACAATACCTGTACAACATAAATAACAGATGTCAAAGAGAACTTCAAGTGTTGTAAAGGTAATATTCCAGTTTCAGATTCTTCATTTTATTAAAGTTTGTGGAGACAGATTAATTACAGGTGTAAATTACAGGTGTGAATGGAGAAAGTTAAAACTGAATATATCACAATGATAACTAATACCACCACAAGTGCTTGTCCTAAACAATGTATCAGAGGCCCCCATTGTTTTGATTAAGGTTATCAAACACATTAGTTCTAATACCAATGTAACAATCTGCAAAAATGATTAAAAAAAATCACAGCTGAATTGATATAAAATTCAAACCTATCAATATTTGTTTAAATCAACCTAGTAAAGTGAGAGGAGCCAGTTGATGGAGGGATGTACAACAGAGTAAGACAGACAGAGTGATTCTAGTATATCTCCTGACTTTGTTCGTGAGGATATATTAACAGGTCTGACAATTCAACTAATAGCTGATACTATGAACAGGTGACAGTACTGTCAGTTGTACATAACACTCAGTGCTGATACAACAGTGCTGTCGGTTGTACATACCATTCGGTGCTGACATAACAGTGCTGTCGGTTGTACATACCATTCGGTGCTGACATAACAGTGCTGTCGGCTGTACATACCATTCGGTGCTGACATAACAGTGCTGTCGGTTGTACATACCATTCGGTGCTGACATAACAGTACTGTCAGTTGTACATACCATTCAGTGTTGACATAACAGTGCTGTCAGTTGTACATACCATTCAGTGCTGACATAACAGTGCTGTCAGTTGTACATACCATTCAGTGCAAAGTTAGCTAGTCCCTGGAATGATCCAATACCAAATCCAAGTTTTATGTTGAGGAGTCGTGCATTCTCCACTTCCTTTGAGTACAACCTACAACCATTGAAGGCAGTGCTTTCTACATGTTTTAATGTATAGAATAGAATAACAATATTTGTCACCTGAGATAAAGTTATTTGAAATAGACATGGGTAACAGATGACTCTTTTTCTCACACACTATCCTGTCAAAACTACATCAAATTATTTCCTTTCTGAATTCTTCTCTGAGGTTTCTTGTCAGAAAGACATTTGGAGATGATGTTACTGTGATGTTACTTGGCTCCAAATTTTACCTAAAAGTTCACATGTTACTAAGTACCTAACAGAGACTAGACAGAAAGCTCTCGCAGTGGGTAGCACATCAGATTTCTCAGTGCTGTGTATATGATAGGCATTTCAGGCTCCAGCTGGAGAAGTCTGGGGTCAGGGACTTTTAACAGACTATAACAGACCCACATATACTAAACAAAAGGTTTGACAGATCCAACAACTTAAACACATGCTACACACTATAACAAGTAATAAGTCTTTTTCCAGCAAATCCTGATGTTTTTGATGTCCTTGGTCTGATTTGTAATAAAATACATTTAATTCTGGATGGTTGTTAATAATGTTGAAGTGATTTGTACATAAAGATTCCTGATGGGAGACACACTTACTCGTTTTCTTTATCTTCCATAGCAAAGGCACGAACAGTTCGCACATTACCAATGGCTTCATCTGCCAATGCTGTCGATTTTGCCAACTACAGGAAAATACAGAATTCTCTTTGCAATGTCATTACATCAGATCAGTAACTAGTTCTATATTTATAAATACATTAGATCAGTGTCTAGTTCTACATTTATAAATACATCAGGTCAGTGTCTAGTTCTATATCTATAAATACATCAGATCAGTGTCTAGTTCTATAGTTATAAATACATCAGGTCAGTGTCTAGTTCTACATTTATAAATACATCAGATCAGTGTCTAGTTCTACATTTATAAATATATCAGATCAGTGTCTAGTTCTATAGTTATAAATATATCAGATCAGTGTCTAGTTCTATAGTTATAAATACATCAGGTCAGTGTCTAGTTCTATATCTATAAATACATCAGGTCAGTGTCTAGTTCTATAGTTATAAATACATCAGATCAGTGTCTAGTTCTATATCTATAAATACATCAGGTCAGTGTCTAGTTCTATAGTTATAAATACATCAGATCAGTGTCTAGTTCTATAGTTATAAATACATCAGGTCAGTGTCTAGTTCTATATCTATAAATACATCAGATCAGTGTCTAGTTCTATAGTTATAAATACATCAGGTCAGTGTCTAGTTCTACATCTATAAATACATCAGATCAGTGTCTAGTTCTATATTTATAAATACATCAGATCAGTGTCTAGTTCTATATCTATAAATACATCAGGTCAGTGTCTAGTTCTATAGTGATAAATACATCAGATCAGTGTCTAGTTCTATATCTATAAATACATCAGATCAGTGTCTAGTTCTATAGTTATAAATACATCAGGTCAGTGTCTAGTTCTACATCTATAAATACATCAGGTCAGTGTCTAGTTCTATAGTTATAAATACATCAGGTCAGTGTCTAGTTCAATAGTTATAAATACATCAGGTCAGTGTTTAGTTCTACATTTATAAATACATCAGATCAGTGTCTAGTTCTATATCTATAAATACATCAGGTCAGTGTCTAGTTCTATAGTGATAAATACATCAGATCAGTGTCTAGTTCTATATTTATAAATGCATCAGGTCAGTGTCTAGTTCTATATCTATAAATACATCAGGTCAGTGTCTAGTTCTATAGTTATAAATACATCAGGTCAGTGTCTAGTTCTATAGTTATAAATACATCAGGTCAGTGTCTAGTTCTATATCTATAAATACATCAGATCAGTGTCTAGTTCTATAGTTATAAATACATCAGGTCAGTGTCTAGTTCTATATCTATAAATACATCAGATCAGTGTCTAGTTCAATAGTTATAAATACATCAGATCAGTGTCTAGTTCTACATTTATAAATACATCAGATCAGTGTCTAGTTCTATATCTATAAATACATCAGGTCAGTGTCTAGTTCTATATCTATAAATACATCAGGTCAGTGTCTAGTTCTATAGTTATAAATACATCAGGTCAGTGTCTAGTTCTACATCTATAAATACATCAGATCAGTGTCTAGTTCTATATTTATAAATACATCAGATCAGTGTCTAGTTCTATAGTTATAAATACATCAGATCAGTGTCTAGTTCTATAGTTATAAATACATCAGATCAGTGTCTAGTTCTACATTTACCTGACAATAACATTTTGGTCAACGTCTTAATCATTCTAAGGCTGACCTTGACATTTGGTTCACAGTGACATTGTTTTGTATCTAATGTGTTCTACACTTGACATTGACATTTGGGTCACCATCTTACCTGTTCCTGGGCTGACCTTGACAATGACCTCAGGCCAGATCCCATCAGAGTACCAATACCTACAATGGCGGGCAGGATAGTCACCATGGCAACTGTCAGTTTTGGTGAGATAACAAACATCGAGCCCACACATCCAACTGCCTGTAATAACCAATTCCTGAATGAATCATGCAAGGATTTATGTAAACTTACACAAGTACCTGGTATAAGATAAGTGGACATGGAGAATCAAGACATTCTGTAAATGTTATGACGTACAATTTATAATTACAGTTCTAGAACAAAATTGTTCTCAACATCAGGAGTTAAGTCTATCAGCAACAAAACAGATTTAAATTGGCCAAATCAGTGATATTCCTAACAAAAGACATTATCTAGAAATGACAATGTAAACTGGTAAAAGAAAGGAATGACATAATTATTGTATGTCTATTGTGAAGACTAAATAAATAGAAAAGTGAGTTAGACTTTAGAGGGTTTCAACCTACCTGTGTGCTGGCTTTTAGACCCTGAGATATACAAAGCTTGAATGAACTCTTAAAGTCTTGAATGTCAGATGTTAACCTGAAGCAAAAATAACAGAAAATGCTGACTCAATCTACAGAAAATTAATGAGTTAACTCTCATGTTCTGAACTAAGACCAGATCTCTTACTCCCTGTAACCCAATTTCTGTGAACTCTTCCGCTTTTATGTTACCTAACTGTTGACAAGCACTACCGTTCTACTCTAAGTTGCTGAACTGTTGACCTGCACTCAGATTTAATGTTGCCTAACTGTTGACAGCACTGCTGTTCTACTCTATGTTGCCTAACTGTTGACCTGCACTCAGATTTAATGTTGCCTAACTGTTGACCAGCATTTTGATTTCATGTTATGAAACTATTGACCAATACTCTTATTCCATGTTACATAACATTAGAGCAGCATTCCTGTTCTTTATCCAACTGTTGACCAGCATTCCTGATATATATGTGTTGCCTAACTGTTGACCAGCACTGCTGTTCTACTCTATGATGCCAAACTGTTGACCAGCATTCCTGATATATATGTGTTGCCTAATTGTTGACCAGCACTGCTGTTCTACTCTATGATGCCAAACTGTTGACCAGCATTCCTGATATATATGTGTTGCCTAACTGTTAACCAGCACTTCTCTTCTATGTTAACAAGTTGACTATGTTGACAAATACCCCTGTTCCGTTACCTAACTGTTGACCACCATTTCGATTTTACCTACCTATCAACCAGCTCTCCTGTTTTGTGTTTGTCAAAAAACTCTATATCTTGTCTGAGAAGGGAATCAAAAAGGCATGTTCTCATTCTGGCTGCCATGTTCTCTCCCACAGTGGACAGTAAGGAAAGGTAGGCACAAGTCAGGACACTCTGCAAGTGTGTAAAACAGGTACTGTATGTCAGAATAGGAATGTTAAGGTATTAAGTCACAGATTCAGGACTACAAATGTGGTGACACATGAGTACATAATGATATTACAATCAGATATGAAATGCATTGGGATGGCACACCCACATATCCATATACAGATCACAATCAATGTTGGTTACAAAATAAAGAAATAAAAACTCTTTATGTCCAGAGTCTGCTCCTTAAGTTACCACCATCCAATAGATTGGGGGAATGAACCTATGTCTGAAGTTCAAAGTATCTGAATAGAAGTCATTATTATGACTTCGACTTTTGTCCCATCAAAACAGAGTTATTTAGACTCCAGTGGAAGAAATGGACAGAGAAATCAGGAAGACAGATAATGAGAGAGTATACGTATACTACAGATGTCTTACCTGTACAGCATAATAACCTATCATTTTGATTGCTGGCTGACGGATTTCCTGTATAAAATCCCTGGCCACATCTTGTGTGAAGGAGGAGACAATGTTGACAATCTCTCCCAGCACCAAAGGAATCTGGATATTAACAATTGCTGCAGCAACAGCACACTGAAAAAGAGCAGTGAAATGGAATGGATTGTTCAATAACATTTGTGCCAATATTTAGCCTTACAGTGACATTAGATATTCTGTAACTTACCGTGTGCTAATATTTCTGCTATTCAGATAGTGCGTGTACATTTGTAAATATTGTGTTTATTTAAAAATATGAAGAGTAACAACTTTAGTCAAGATTTAAGAAATATTTTACCTTTAACAGATATTCAGAATCATGGAGTCTGAAGGTACACTTTATCCATGAACTTCTATGTTCACAAACTTTACTAATAAGTATAATTACATTTATAGTGTTATATATCTATCCATGAACTTCTATGTTCACAAACTTTAGTAATAGGTATAATTACATTTAGAGTGCTATATATAAAATGGAATCAAATGTGCACAAAACAGTGATGTCTTGAAAAACAAGGAAAACTGAGCCCAATGAAAATTCTGATTTAACAATTTCAATCAAGTCATCATAAACGCAAGAAAAAAATATCAAAAATACTGATAGATTTGATCTCTTTTACATTCTAGAGAGAAGGTAAATTACTTACTACAACTGCTGAAATAAGATACAATAAGTCTGGTCGTAATAACCGGAAAAATGTCTTCCAATCAAATTCTGGCTGTTGGCTTGACTTGTCTATATTCCTAGACCCGACCAATCTTGACTTCTGATTCTTTATTTTACAGTAAACTTTGGTACTGTTTAGAGTCCAGGTCACATAGCCTCCGAGGCTGACTAATCCTATTAAGCAATTCACATGTTTTTCATTGATATTAAGTAACTTCCTAGTTACTGAAGTACTTATAGAAAAAGTTCTGTGTCCAATGGAAATTGTTCTCTGTGACTTTGGTGAAGACTGTTGACACCAGATTTTATTTGGTCCTGATCTGTTGTGAAGCTTTGTCCATTGTTTTGTGATATTTCTTTGACACTGAAAAAATTGTCGCCCATACTTACTGCATTGAGAGTACCTGTAAGTAGAAGTTAATAATGAGAAAACTATGACAATATGTACTATATACAATACTGATACAATGTAAGGTGTTTAGAACTACTGAATACAACCAAGTTGTTCTAGCTACTATGACATATGTTACATTCACCATCATGAAATGTTTAAGTCATTTTAAATTCCATACAAAACACAGCTTGTATTTGCAAATTGCAGAATTTACAAATTGACAGAATTGCCCAATTCTATACTATTCCACTGATCTCTTGCAGCAGTTTTTATATGATTAATAAAAACTTTACCAAAAAAAAAAAATAAGGTGGAAAAGACTTTTTCTACATTGATTTATGAGAACATCTGAAAGGCAGCTCTTCTTGACACATTTTAACTGGTACTCTCAGGTTAAAGCATTTTTGATGATAAAATCTATCACAGAAAATGCACCATTAACATTTAATTGACAAAGATACAATGTCCATTGTATGTAGGTTACAATCTACCTGACAATGAGACATGCTGTGTATCCCAGGTTGTCAATAATTTTTTCATACTTGTAAACCATACATATGTGTAACATGTTATCTATGGGACAAGCTTGTTCAATTGATTCTTAGAGAACAGGACAATCAGCTGGATGGCCACGAAACAACCACAAGCAGCTTAACTGGCATAAAGCCTGAAAAGCTCTTTCTACCCTAAAAACCGATGTAGCATGGACTACTCCAACAATGTTAGAGGTTCAACATCACAAGAATCTTTTGACAGATATTGCAGATTCACAATGCAAACAGACAGACTATCGTAATAGGAAGTAGTAATGAAGAACACCCTGCCTTCAGTCTGGAGCTGGACATTCTGCCGCTCGACTAAAGGGAAATTTCCCGCTAGCCGAGGTTAGTGAGGCAACATGTGCTCTCAATTTACACATTACTCCCTCCTTCACAAAGTCTTTGGACCCAAAGATAACAACCCAGCTTTTTATCTCCAGGAAAGCATTTCAATCTATTATAACCTCTACCCTGGAAGTGGTCAATGACACCTAATCTGTAACAGAAAGGAGTAATGAAAAATATCTGCTGTTGCTGGGATTCAAACTAGCGATCCTAAGGTCTCTAGCCGGACACTCTACCACTTGACTAAAGGGAAATTCCCACTAGCTGAGGCTAGTAAAGCAACCTGTACTCTCAACTTCCAAACTGCTCCCTCCTTCTTAAATTTATAATCCCGAAAAACGACGAAAACCCAGGTTCAACATCTCCAAGGAAGCATCTCAATCTCCTATAGGTTCTACCCTAGGACTAGGTAAAAAGCACAAAATCTGTAATAGGAAGGAGTAATGAAAAACTCCCTGCTACCGCTAGGATTCGAATCAGCGACAGAAGGGTCTTTAGTCGGGCACTCTATCGCTTGACTACAGGGAAATTTCCATCAGCAAGGCGACCTTTTACTCCCAACTCCTACATACATATAGTATTTCATATCTAGATTTTAATAACGATTAATTACATACATTTGATAGGATTTACATCCATGTATTGGTTTATGAATACAAATGTAATTCCAATAAAACCTGCATATAACAGGTCAGGAAGAACTTCTGAGACTGGTAACGTAAAGGTCTGAAAAACCGGATAAAACAAGCTTGATACGAACCGCGATATGACAGGAGAAACAGTGTGACCACTAAATATGGTGCGATGTAAAAATTGCACACTAGTTGAATACATCTTGTGTGATGCCGGTATGTCATCAAACTAAGCACTATTGAAGACGACACGGAACCGGCTTAACCTTCAGTGAACCTAACATGGAGGCTGCCATCTTTACAGAGCTAACACTAAATACGAAAATAACATCACTTTGGTCGATTTTAAACTGTAATCTAAACAAATGGATCTAATCGTCATATAAGTGGACTGAGGTAAAATTAATATATACGGGCGCCATTATATTACATATGAAACGAAAGTATTGATGCATACGAAACTATAAACTCTAAAATCAAGCGTAAACTTCCTGTTTCGTTTTTGTTTTGCAAGCCAGTAGATGGTGCAATGTCCATTAAATCAAATAGCCGTGAAGTTAAAAGTTCCTCGTCTAAAGGAGCAGTATCTTACAAAGACAAATTCAAGCAGACGACAATGGGCAACAATATGAGCGTAGATGAGTCGCCGACACACAGAAAACGTGCGGTAAATGCTAAATGATTTGTGAACCAGTCAAACCGAAAGCTGTTTCGTTGTTGCTAACCTTAGCGCAATAGTAACCAACCAGTATTTTATCACTCGTTCATGGCAAGGTAGCTACCAAACTGAGAGCATTAACGGAATTTCGAAGTAATACAGAGGTGTCAAGGAAACCCAAAACACAGAATATCATCAAAGCAAAGTACATTTGTACACGAATCTGTGCCTGTATATGTATTTAATACAAATGAGTTTAATTAACAGAAGGTTGTAATTCCTTTCACAGAGTATTTCATCATTCTGATGTCACTGGTATCTTTTTAAGTTCCTCTACTATATAGAGAATCAATTATGTTCCTATAGAATTCCAATCTCTTGGTTGTATGAAATTAAAGTGTTATCCCTCTGACTTTAAGTTCTGGTACAATGTAGCAGACAACATTTCAGTTGCCTTTTCCTGAACGAGACATGTTTAAGATATACAGGTATAGCAGATTGATTTATTGAAATACACCCTTACATGTGTTTGTATTTATAAGTTATCAGGGAAATGCAAATCGATTTCTGTACACCTGCCAAAAATTATTAATGTTCTCATGTTTAAGCAAATCCCAACTCATAATGGTTTCATGATATGAATGTGGTAACTGTTAGGAAATCGCACATCATGTAAAGCAAGTTAATGGTTTTTAGACATGAATTGGAGATTGTCCAAATAGTAATCTTCAACCTCGTACAAATATTTTACTCCAAAAACTGTGAAGTCACACATTGTCAACTTCATCATGACCTTACCGATTATTTTGAGGATTTTTTTTCCAAAAATAAAAGCATTAAGATGGGGTAATTTAATGAACAAAAATGGCCACACAATCAACTACCTACTACTACCACTAATAAATCTGGTACATGAAAAATACAGTTACCTCCCCGATTTTGATTTAGAGCAAGCAGCATAAAGAAGACAGTTTCCATACAGCATGTTTATTACGTTTGTCAGGTAAAACATATCAATTGCTGGAAATGATTGTATGCGACTTATATTACACCTGAATTTGAAGTTATTTGTCATTTGTTTTTTTATTTTCCTTTATGAACATCACTGAGTAAGATCTGAGGTAGTTGGTTATTAAAAACACTAGCTGTCTCTTGTACCGCATTTCTTCAATAGAAAAAAGCGCCTTTTCAAATCAATGACTGAAGAAAGCTTTGAAATATATACTTATAGCTATGACAGATCAAGTTGTATATTTGTTGCAGGTAGGAAGAGGTAGACACATATTTGGTGCATCATTCTTTAGAAAGTGGAGTGATAAAGACACCCAGCAGTACAGAGAGGGATACCCAGTAAGTAATATTTACAGACTTCTAGGATTCTAGTTTATTCCCATTGTTTAGTTTTAATTAGATGATTAAATTGTCCATTTTGTTCTTTTGTATTAAGATAAATTTTATAAATAACTTTACAAAATAAAGTTAAATGGTATATTGACAGTGTACTGTATCCCTTTAAAAACAATTTTCACTTTTTAACCAAGAGAACAGGGTAGTAATATTAGATTTGTAGTATATTGGAATGAATGGCTACTAAGTTTGTTCAAGTGAAATCCTTTGATCCAGTTTCAAGTTTACAAAAAAGGCTACAAATATTTTAAGATCTTTAAAGAACATCTAAAAACCAAATGCCTAGTATCATAATATCTGTGTAATAGCATGCCTTAGAAATGAGTTTTCATGCTTGCAGAAATTGAATTAAGAAAGCAGACATTTCTTTTTAACAAGTGTTTTATAATACTCATGTAATTTGTGTAGGTTTCACAAGTACTACATCTTCACTATACCATCAGACATGATGTAATTTTGTACATAGTTATTGTGAAATATCAGTTTGAAGTTTGAAATGTCAACAAATTTATTTTCACAAAAAAATGTGTTGTGTGTAGGGGAAAAAGGATCACCCAAGTCTGAAAGAAAACCTGCTATTCTACACAGGGCAGATCAAGTCTCACCCAGACGGTAGGTGACACATCCAGAATCACGAATCAAGAGTGTGTCAAAAATGACAACAAACAAGTCAAATTTTCATGTTTTGTTCATTTTGTCAAATGATCTGATTGTTGTTTCACTAAAAAAAATGTAGAGTGCATGATTAAAAAGCCTTAGTGCCATCAGAGAATTCTAGGCACATGTGACATGTTTTAATTCATTTAGCAAATGATGATGATCTAAGAAAAGTCTTGGTGTTTTAAAAGGAAAAGTTCATTAAGTTAAATTCACTGAATATTGAAATTTCACTTATTTTGATTTTTTTACCTGATATCATCACAATCGAAATTCAAAAATATTTTTTTAAATGTTTGATTCAAGGTTTTGAATTTTGATTTATAAATTCTGGGCCAGATTGGTCCTGACAATTAATAGCTGTTGGATTACCATAGTGTCATTTTTGGACACAAACATCCAATTTCAAAAGTTAAAGAGTTTGAAGTTCCTTTAACAGAGAAAGACTCATAGCTCAGGTTTGGTTTTGAGTGTGGAGTTATCTAATTTCAGGAGATTACATACAAAAGATCCATGAGAACTGGTGGGGAAATTTCAGGCTTCTGGAGTCTCACCATGGCTACATACAGTGGTAGGTACACACCATTTCCTTATAGATATATCACCATGGCTACATACAGTGGTATGTACACACCATTTCCTTATAGATATATCACCATGGCTACGTACAGTGGTACGTACACACCATTTCCTTATAGATATATCACCATGACTACATACAGTGATACATACACACCATTTCCTTATAGATATATCACCATGGCTACGTACAGTGGTAGGTACACACCATTTCCTTATAGATATATCACCATGGCTACGTACAGTGGTACGTACACACCATTTCCTTATAGATATATCACCATGGCTACGTACAGTGGTAGGTACACACCATTTCCTTATAGATATATCACCATGGCTACGTACAGTGGTAGGTACACACCATTTCCTTATAGATATATCACCATGACTACATAGAGTGATACATACACACCATTTCCTTATAGATATATCACCATGACTACATACAGTGATACATACACACCATTTCCTTATAGATATATCACCATGACTACATACAGTGATACATACACCCCATTCTAATTGATATAATGATATATTGGGATATTGGGACATATTTTATGATTGTTTATCAAGTAAGCTGCTGGAATTTTAGAACAGCATAAAATGAAAACTTCCAACACATTGTTTCCATGTAAAAGTAACTTTACCAACAAATTATCATTTCAAGATTTTGTTTAGAAATAAAGATATTAACCAAAATTCTTAACTAACCGATATAGATATAATAAACATATGCATGATGGGTTAGTCTAAGATATGAGCAATGCTACCCAGTGTCGGAAAAAAGGTATTTCTCGGCTTATTTTGAGAGATGTTTGGAGAAATCTCAGACAGCCATTTAGGTCAAAGAGGGATACAATAAAAATATATGACATACATGAAGATTACAATGTTAAGGCTAGATTGATATATCTTTTTCATTGTGGTATTATTTAAAAATATATCAAATAAAACATACTAATTAGTTTCAGTAAAATATAATAATTAGCTCTGTGAAATTTTCCAATGTTTTTCTTAGTGGCAAATTTGTTTCACAGAGAAAAACATACCACTTGGAGAAGATTACCCTTTTCTTATAGTATAACGTTTTCTAGATTAACCTCTATATATAAATGGCTTGAAATGCACATCGCCAAAAACTTAAAAATACGTTTTCAAGTAATCAAGATGAGAGCTCATCTGATTTCATAATCACTTGATTTTCTAATTAAGGCAGGGAAACCTTTGTTACTTTCTGTATATGAGAAATGCATCATTGCCTTTCAGAGAAGGTGCTGAAGGCACAAGAAGACACTGAATGCTTCAAACTTCTTTATTTAGACAAATTCTTAATATTTGTTTATTGTTGTATGCATTTAATGAAATACAATTGATTGAATTTAATTACATTTGAAAATTTATGAGATTTCATTTGAGATGTATAAACAATCCGAGTGAAGCCAGGAAAGAGGCAATTTAAAATGATTTACACAGTACATTTGTAATTGTTTGTACCTAATTGAGCATCTTAGCTCGCTTTTAGGCATTGTCTATTTCATATATGTTATGACTATGGTGACGTATAAAGATTCCTCATACCAGTGTCCCTGAATATGTTTTTTTTTTGGATCCTTAGGGTATAAGACATATATAGATGTAATATGTACATTAGTACACTGCATTTTACATAACAGCCCCTCCATTCTAAGTCAGAGTACCAAAAATGCTCCAACTTTTTTTTCAACTGCAATGTGATTATTCTGTCAATGAAATTTACAATGTAGACAAATAAGTGAAAAGAAGAGAGAGAAAAAACCTACCGAATTACTTAGATCAGTTAAAGATCAAATAATTAGATTTTATGATGTGGATGTGACACTTGTTCTCTTGTTTATCAAAGGTTAAAGCATACTGCACTCATCATTTGGATAACTGTCAATCATCTAATGTTAAAGCATACTGCACTCATCATTTGGATAACTGTCAATTGTAAATGTTAAAGCATACTGCACTCATCATTTGGATAACTGTCAATTGTCAATGTTAAAGCATACTGCACTCATCATTTGGATAACTGTCAATTGTCAGATGTTAAAGCAAAAGCATACTGCACTCATCATTTGGATAACTGTCAATTGTCAGATGTTAAAGCATACTGCACTCATCATTTGGATAACTGTCAATTGTCAGATGTTAAAGCATACTGCACTCATCATTTGGATAACTGTCAATCATCTAATGTTAAAGCATACTGCACTCATCGTTTTGATAACTGTCAATCATCTAATGTTAAAGCATACTGCACACATCATTTGGATAACTGTCAATTGTCAATGTTAAAGCATACTGCACTCATCATTTGGATAACTGTCAATCATCTAATGTTAAAGCATACTGCACTCATCGTTTGGATAACTGTCAATCATCTAATGTTAAAGCATACTGCACTCATCGTTTTGATAACTGTCAATCATCTAATGTTAAAGCATACTGCACTCATCGTTTGGATAACTGTCAATCGTCAATGTTAAAGCATACTGCACTCATCATTTGGATAACTGTCAATTGTCAATGTTAAAGCATACTGCACTTATCGTTTGGATAACTGTCAATCATCTAATGTTAAAGCATACTGCACCCATCGTTTGGATAACTGTCAATTGTCAATGTTAAAGCATACTGCACTCATCATTTGGATAACTGTCAATTGTCAATGTTAAAGCATACTGCACTTATCGTTTGGATAACTGTCAATCATCTAATGTTAAAGCATACTGCACTCATCGTTTGGATAACTGTCAATTGTCAATGTTAAAGCATACTGCACTCATCGTTTGGATAACTGTCAATCATCTAATGTTAAAGCATACTGCACACATCGTTTGGATAACTGTCAGTCATCTAATGTTAAAGCATACTGCACTCATCATTTGGATAACTGTCAGTCATCTAATGTTAAAGCATACTGCACACATCATTTGGATAACTGTCAGTCATCTAATGTTAAAGCATACTGCACTCATCGTTTGGATAACTGTCAATCATCTAATGTTAAAGCATACTGCACACATCATTTGGATAACTGTCAGTCATCTAATGTTAAAGCATACTGCACTCATCATTTGGATAACTGTCAGTCATCTAATGTTAAAGCATACTGCACACATCATTTGGATAACTGTCAGTCATCTAATGTTAAAGCATACTGCACTCATCATTTGGATAACTGTCAGTCATCTAATGTTAAAGCATACTGCACTCATTGTTTGGATAACTGTCAATCATCTAATGTTCAAGCATACTGCACTCATCGTTTGGATAACTGTCAATTGTCAATGTTAAAGCATACTGCACTCATCGTTTGGATAACTGTCAATCATCTAATGTTAAAGCATACTGCACTCATCGTTTGGATAACTGTCAATCATCTAATGTTAAAGCATACTGCACTCATCGTTTGGATAACTGTCAATTGTCAATGTTAAAGCATACTGCACTCATCGTTTGGATAACTGTCAATTGTCAATGTTAAAGCATACTGCACTCATCGTTTGGATAACTGTCAATTGTCAATGTTAAAGCATACTGCACTTATCGTTTGGATAACTGTCAATCATCTAATGTTAAAGCATACTGCACTCATCATTTGGAGAACTGTCAATTGTCAATGTTAAAGCATACTGCACTCATCATTTGGATAACTGTCAATCGTCAATGTTAAAGCATACTGCACTCATCGTTTGGATAATTGTCAATTGTCAAATGTTAAAGGATACTGTCATAATTGTTAAAATAACAGTCAATCACCGCAGTAAGGAGAAATAACAAAAAGGATATGTAGATTTAACTTAGATAGTACTGAAATATCCTCTGATATACTGTACTGTATGTACATGTAGTATCTGGCTGTGAGAAAAACATCTTGCAAGGGAAGTAACTCTGTTTTAAATTTTATTTTAGGCTGTTTCCCATTAGAGAGTCAGGCATGAACTTTTATTCACAAGAATTACAGCTCCATGAAATCAAGGTAGGTCTGAGTATGTTGACATGCAACAATAAACTACATACAACATAACAAATAGTTTTAATTGTAAGCAAGAAGTCAGAGATCTGTGTAATCAGTACCTTTAGTTAGTCAGAAACCTCCTCAGTCATTATTCTGTGTAATCAGTACCCTTTAGTTAGTCAGAAACCTCCTCAGTCATTATTCTGTGTAATCAGTACCTTTAGTAAGTCAGAAACCTCCTCAGTCATTATTCTGTGTAATCAGTACCTTTAGTTAGTCAGAAACCTCCTCAGTCATTATTCTGTGGAGTCAGTACCTTTAGTAAGTCAGAAACCTCCTCAGTCATTATTCTGTGGAGTCAGTACCTTTAGTAAGTCAGAAACCTCCTCAGTCATTATTCTGTGGAGTCAGTACCTTTAGTTAGTCAGAAACCTCCTCAGTCGTTATTCTGTGTAATCAGTACCCTTTAGTAAGTCAGAAACCTCCTCAGTCATTATTCTGTGGAGTCAGTACCCTTTAGTTAGTCAGAAACCTCCTCAGTCATTATTCTGTGGAGTCAGTCAAGAAGCACCACAGTAAGCTGGATTTACTCAAGAATCTCTTTAATCAGAAATTTCTGGAGGTAGTAAGTAGTTTGTCATAAACAGAAGTATGTGGATTAGCTAGAAATATCTTTAGTCAGAAGTCTCTGGAGTTAGTTAGGAATATCCTTAATCGACAATCTTCAGATTTATTAAAGAATAACCTGTACCAGATTAACTGATTTGGTCAGAAACCTCCTTAGTCATAAATCTGTGGATTTAATCAAGAATCTCCCCGAATTCTCTCACAACAGTCAGGAACATCTTAATCAGAAATCTTTGGAGGTAGTAAGGAATCTCCTTACTTAAATATGTATGGAATATCCTTTGGTGGTAAGCTTAAACTCTGTTCATAAGCATGGACAAGAAAACAAACAAGCAAACAAACCTAGCAGTCTTTAGATTACACCATGAAATTGTGCTAATAAATGTTAATAATTATTTTAATATTGGCGACTGATCTGATTATGTGTTCATGTTTCGTCAATGTTTATAGCCCTAATTATGAATTTACAACATATCATGAAGAGCATGTATAAATGCTTAGACAGCTAATACACATGATTTTTTTTTATATCATGTTACATCTGTCTTGTACAATAATGTGTACAATCACGAGCAAGGCTTTATCAACTCTTTTTCCATTGAAATGAAACCTATTGTGCAGGCGTTGTTAATTGTACCTGGAAAATGAAGGTGTGATTGGTTTATATTTACACTCAGAAATGAACATGTATATAGATCTTCTTGGATTTAGATGCAATAATTAATACATACAGTTGTAATTGGAAGGAGTCATAAAAAACACACAGCTCCTAGCAAAAGGAGTTAAATCAGGTCTATAGCTTGTATTCTTCTTCTCTCTGATTTTCACCTCCACTAATACTGATGATTCTGGTGAGACTATAGTGACTCTGGTCTCTAGCCAGACATGCTACCACTAGTCTGTAAAGAAAACCCCACTAGCTAAGGCTAGAAAGGTGACCATGTCTGCCCTCAACTTCTACAACTTCTAGTATCATTAGGACTCATCAGTTTAAAACATACACTTTGTATTTGAGACCTAAACCAGTAATAATGTGCAGTACTGAAACAAACTCTAAACTGATAAAATGGCATAAGTCATTTATGTATAAGTTAATTTAAAAGAATAGAAAAATAAACATTTAATTGGATAAACTAGTAATTGATTGATTACTAGCCAGTTATAATAACTGATCATCCATGTTGAAATCTCAACCCATCTTCATGAACACAAGAAAATATTCAAACCTTCAGTGGCCTATAACAATGCACTATACTACAAAAAGTGTAGATTTTGGAGTTACACTTGACTGGGTATGGTCAGTTATTACCCCACCAATCACACTCTTCCAGCATATTGATCAAAGTAGATCTTATCATGACTGATTGTCTTGAACCTTCAAATTATATAAATAAATAATCAATAGTGACCAATCACTAAAGATTATGTGCCATTCCATACTGATAGATCACTTCCTTCATTTTAATACACATCGTCTATGAGTGTCCTTGACACTTTGATTTTAATTTCTAAGTTGTTTTGTTAAATGAGATTGTATTAACATTTTTGTTGTTTTTTAAATCAGAAAATCATGGAAGATAAAGAAGCTCATGCGCGAGTTCTCAAGTCTTACGAGATGATGCTTCATTTTTATGGCATGGAGCTTGAGAGTAAAGAGACAGGACAGATCAGACGTGGTGAGGATTGGAGGTCACAGTTCCGTCATCTCAACAGGTAAGGACAGATCAGATGTGGTGAGGATTGGAGGTCACAGTTCAGTCATCTCAACAGGTAAGGACAGATCAGACGTGGTGAGGATTGGAGGTCACAGTTCAGTCATCTCAACAGGTAAGGACAGATCAGACGTGGTGAGGATTGGAGGTCACAGTTCAGTCATCTCAACAGGTAAGGACAGATCAGACGTGGTGAGGATTGGAGGTCACAGTTCCGCCGTCTCAACAGGTAAGGACAGATCAGACGTGGTGAGGATTGGAGGTCACAGTTCTGTCATCTCAACAGGTAAGGACACATCAGACGTGGTGAGGATTGGAGGTCACAGTTCCGTCATCTCAACAGGTAAGGACACATCAGACGTGGTGAGGATTGGAGGTCACAGTTCCGTCATCTCAACAGGTAAGGACAGATCAGACGTGGTGAGGATTGGAGGTCACAGTTCCGTCATCTCAACAGGTAAGGACAGATCAGATGTGGTGAGGATTGGAGGTCACAGTTCCGTTATCTCAACAGGTAAGGACAGATCAGACGTGGTGAGGATTGGAGGTCACAGTTCCGTCATCTCAGCAGGTAAGGACAGATCAGACGTGGTGAGGATTAGAGGTCATAATTCCATCAACTCAACAGGTAAGGACAGATCAGATGTGGTGAGGATTGGAGGTCACAGTTCCGTCATCTCAATAGGTAAGGACAGATCAGACATGATGAGGAATGGAGGTCACAGTTACGCCATCTCAACAGGTAAGGACAATCAGTTGTGCTGGAAGTCAAAGTTACAGAATGTCAACAGCAAAGTAAAAACAAGATATAGGGAGGACTGCAGGTAGTGATTCTTACAGTTTGACTTGTAGAATAAAATATTGTAAACACACTCCAGGTAAATACAATAAACATCATTACCACTAGTACAATAATCAACATCATTGCCACTGGTACAATAATCAACATCATTACCACTGGTACAATAATCAACATCATTACCACTGGTACAATGATAAACATCATTACCACTGGTATAATGATAAACATCATTACCACTGGTACAATGATAAACATCATTACCACTGGTATAATGATAAACATCATTACCACTGGTACAATGATAAACATCATTACCACTGGTACAATGATAAACATCATTACCACTGGTACAATGATATACATCATTACCACTGGTACAATAATAAACATCATTACCACTGGTACAGTGATAAACATCATTACCACTGGTACAATGATAAACATCATTACCACTGGTACAATAATAAACATCATTACCACTGGTACAGTGATAAACATCATTACCACTGGTATAATGATAAACATCATTACCACTGGTATATAAACATCATTACCACTGGTACAGTGATATACATCATTACCACTGGTATAATGATAAACATCATTACCACTGGTACAATGATAAACATCATTACCACTGGTATAATGATATACATCATTACCACTGGTATAATGATATACACCATTACCACTGGTATAATGATATACATCATTACCACTGGTATAATGATATACATCATTACCACTGGTACAACGATAAACATCATTACCACTGGTACAATGATAAACATCATTACCACTGGTACAATGATCAACATCATTACCACTGGTACAATGATATACATAATTACCACTGGTACAATGATATACATAATTACCACTGGTACAATGATATACATCATTACCACTGGTACAATAATAAACATCATTACCACTGGTACAATGATATACATCATTACCACTGGTATAATGATAAACATCATTACCACTGGTACAATAATAAACATCATTACCACTGGTACAGTGATAAACATCATTACCACTGGTATAATGATAAACATCATTACCACTGGTACAGTGATAAACATCATTACCACTGGTACAATGATAAACATCATTACCACTGGTACAATGATAAACATCATTACCACTGGTACAATGATATACATCATTACCACTGGTACATTAATGAACATCATTACCACTGGTACAATAATAAACATCATTACCACTGGTACAATTATAAACATCATTACCACTGGTACAGTGATAAACATCATTACCACTGGTACAATGATAAACATCATTACCACTGGTACAATGATATACATCATTACCACTGGTACAATGATAAACATCATTACCACTGGTACAATGATATACATCATTACCACTGGTACAATGATGAACATCATTACCACTGGTACAACGATAAACATCATTACCACTGGTACAATGATAAACATCATTACCACTAAAACAATGATCAACATCATTACCACTGGTATAATGATATACATCATTACCACTGGTATAAAACATCATTACCACTGGTACAATGATAAACATCATTACCACTGGTTGATATACATCATTACCACTGGTACAATGATATACATCATTACCACTGGTATTAATGATATACATCATTACCACTGGTACAATGATAATACATCATTACCACTGGTACAATGATAACACATCATTACCACTGGTACAATGATATACATCATTACCACTGGTACAACATCATGGTATAATGATATACATCATTACCACTGGTACAATGATAAACATCATTACCACTGGTACAATGATAAACATCATTACCACTGGTACAATGATATACATCATTACCACTGGTACAACGATAAACATCATTACCACTGGTACAATGATATACATCATTACCACTGGTACAACGATAAACATCATTACCACTGGTACAATGATAAACATCATTACCACTGGTACAATGATATACATCATTAACACTGGTACAGTGATAAACATCATTACCACTGGTACAATAATAAACATCATTACCACTGGTACAATGATATACATCATTACCACTGGTATAACGATAAACATCATTACCAATGGTACAATGATAAACATCATTACCACTGGTACAGTGATAAACATCATTACCACTGGTACAATGATATACATCATTACCACTGGTACAATTATATACATCATTACCACTGGTACAGTGATAAACATCATTACCACTGGTATAATGATATACATCATTACCACTGGTACAATGATAAACATCATTACCACTGGTATAATGATATACATCATTACCACTGGTACAATGATATACATCATTACCACTGGTACAATGATAAACATCATTACCACTGGTACAATGATAAACATCATTACCACTGGTACAATGATATACATCATTACCACTGGTACAGTGATAAACATCATTACCACTGGTACAATAATAAACATCATTACCACTGGTACAATGATATACATCATTACCACTGGTACAATGATAAACATCATTACCACTGGTACAATGATATACATCATTACCACTGGTACAATAATAAACAAAATTATGTTGATACAATTAACACAGGTGAAGTGTATATCCCTAACATACTTAACTAAGGCAAACATGATAAAAAAATTTCTCACAGGTAATTAGGGTATTGTTATTATTTATAGAAGGTGTTTACTGCTTGAAAAAATTATTGTAAATCATGTTTCTATAAAAGCACACTTATATTGCCATGAGCTAAGATTGGCAGAATTTCTTTACCCAGAATGCTAAAATCTCTAGTAGTTTGTTTAGTACGGGTCAATAGGGTTTTTTGCAGAAATTTCTGGTAACTACAATGTATTGATAATCTACAGACTGATAGATTTGAGGAAGACATCCCAGTAAAAAGTAACAGACCTCTCACTTATTGGAAAAGATAAAAAGGTCATCAACACTATCATTTAGTGTCTGACTAAAACAGGTATCAAGACCATTAGATTTTATGTAATAGATAGTAGCTAATAAGAGTTACCTCCCTTTAAGCATTTTTCTTGTCCATGTTAGACATATAGAAATATAGCTTTACGATGACAGACAGAAGCCTGCTGAAAGAAATTTATACTTATTTGCTAATGTCTTAGCTGAATTTTAGAGAACATCAAGACATATACCTGCAGAATATGAAAGATAAATCAGTTATCATTTATCATACTTTTTGTTGTCGGAAAAGGTTTAAATATAAATGTAATTCGTATAAATACTGAGCTGTGTATGATGGAATTACTGCTCCATAAACAGAAAGGGTAATTCAAAGATGGGGTCTCCTTGTAGTAGTTTGTGACTACCTTACTGAACAACATACCAAAGGCCCATCACATGCTATTAAAGTAACCGGGGTGAACTGTCAAGTCCAGAACACAACCATGAAAGCAGAGAATGTTCAGTGACCTCAGCTTCTCTAGAAACACTCTAGGTAGGGATCAAACTACTGGTTCACATAATTGGATCACCAGATCTGGTGCTGTACTGACTGAGCTATCAGGACCTCCATAATAAAATCTGGTGCTGTACTGACTGAGCTATCAGGGCCTCCATAATAAAATCTGGTGCTTTACTGACTGAGATATCAGGGTCTCCTTAATAAAATCTGGTGCTGTACTGACTGAGATATCAGGGCCTCCATAATAAAATCTGGTGCTGTACTGACTGAGCTATCAGGGCCTCCATAATAAAATCTGGTGCTGTACTGACTGAGATATCAGGTTCTCCTTAATAAAATCTGGTGCTGTACTGACTGAGATATTAGGGCCTGCTTAATAAATTCTGGTGCTGTACTGACTGAGCTATCATGGCCTGCTTAATAAAATCTGGTGCTGTACTGACTGAGATATCAGGGCCTCCTTAATAAAACCTGGTGTTGTACTGACTGAGATATCAGGGCCTCCGTGATAAAATCTGGTGCTGTACTGACTGAGCTATCAGGGCCTCCGCAATAAAATCTGGTGCTGTACTGACTGAGCTATCAGGGCCTCCGTAATAAAATCTGGTGCTGTACTGACTGAGATATCAGGTTCTCCTTAATAAAATCTGGTGCTGTACTGACTGAGCTATCAGGGCCTGCTTAATAAAATCTGGTGCTGTACTGACTGAGCTATCAGGGCCTGCTTAATAAAATCTGGTGCTGTACTGA